TGAGATTCCCATCCTGAACTAGTGCTTGTGGTAACTTGAGATCAGTTCTTTGGTGACTCTCCTCCCCAAGGGGGAGCCTGCCAAGGTGAAAACTGACTCACTCCAAACTGAAAGTTTTGAAATCCTGGTACAGTCTTGCCAAGTGAGCCTGGACTAGACCTGGCCTTGGGAGATGAAAGTCAAATGTGGACCAGGATGATCCATTTTAGGCTCAGGTTTGAAAGTCAGCTCAGGGATCAGTTATGCCCCAGGTCAGTTCATGAGTAGGTACCAGTGGCCTGGACTGAACTCACAGACAGTAGACTAGCAAGGGTGCAGAGATCTCGGGGATCACACACACAGTTCACGTGGTTCATCACTGAGGGGGATTCTGGAAGGCGATTGCTGTTCTAGACAAGCATCTGACCCAGGAAGCAGCAGAGCAGTCCCTTAGGATAATGAGGGACAGGATGGCCTTCTTTTTTGTCTCCCAAGGCAATTGCCCTCTAGTCTGCAATCCAGGATGTGCAAATAAATCTTATCTCATCCCTGCTTGAAGGTATAGGGGGAAAGGTGAAAAAATTAAGCCCCGCTCTTCAGCTGAGCAGTAGTTGGAAACCACCTGTCTCGCCCTAGATGTGTTCTGTTTTTCCTGGCGGCTGGGAAGGGAGGGGAATCAACACTAATGCTGTGGGGACTCTCTGATGCAGAAGACAGATTATCAAAATATATATTTAAAGAAGGAAAAGCACAGAGAACCTCTCATTTTCCTAATCCACAAACCCTATCATTTCTTGCCAATTCCCTCAGGGGGTAGGGAGGGCTGGAAGCCAGAGGGGTCTCATCACACTTCTCAACAAAGATTTAATAGCAGGGTGCTGGGGGCGGGGTGGGGGGAAGGCTGAGATTATGGAGACTTTATTATGCTTACAAACCTGAGTAAGAACCAGCATTGTAAATCGTCAGAACTAAGCTACACTTAACAGGATAAATGTGTAAAGTGCATTTGGTAATACTGTACGCTTGTTGTTCTGAGTCATTTTTCTCTTCTCTCCTGCTAATTTGCAAACTTGAGTTGTCTGTGAAGTGTTCTTTCACATCATTAATGTGAATTGCCTGGGTGCAAATGCAGAAAAGCTAAACAGCACTGTGTTAATTCTTAACCCTCTGGCCCACCATACTGTTGGTGAGAGGGGTAGGTAGAGGTTTGTGCAACGTTGTTGTAGTTTCGGAGAACATATTTGTAGATTACATTTATTAACCCTAACCAGATTTGTGAGTCCTTTATCAGTATTGGTATTGTTCGGGTTCACAGTTTTGAGGAAAAGTAACTGAACCAATGATTGGACACCACGTCAGTATAAAATAGCATGTTCACTTAATTTGATTTTAAGAGTTATAAGACTTCTTGGAAGCTTCGCATAGATTGTGTGAACTGAAGACTTTTAGACATCTGGGTTGTTTTTTTTTTTTAACTAAAGAATCTAAAGAAAAAGTGAAAGTGATTGAACATGTGTTATGTAGTTTTGGGAAATTAAATACTGGTTGGTTTCACTTGACAATCAAGTACTCTTAACAGCAAGAGGACAGAGGAGTCTGGCAGGCTACAGTCCATGAGGTGGCAAAGAGTCGGACATGACTCAGCAATTAACACTTTTAACATTCCCTAGCCCCTTCTCTACATGCTTATTTTTCAGATCAGTAGTTTTCAATATTTTTGATTAAACATATATAGGATACATCTTCAAAATATGTGTTTGTCAATATATTACATAGATACATGTATGATACAACACTCAAAAAATAGAAATTGAAAAATGAGGTGAAGATGAAATAGATTTAAAAAATAAATGTATGTTGTTTTGAAGTTCTGATATAGATTCATTTATTTTGACAATTTATTTTAATGGTTGTGAGAGCTAATAGAGCTATCTCAGAAAATCACAAAGAGAAAATGTATGTTAGTACACTTCTCGCTGAGGTTCATAATTATCAATGGTGTCTATCAGCCCATATTTCAGATAGCTTTCCTGATCATCTCAATTTTGTTTTGCCAACTTTTGGTCACATCTGATTAAGTTGTTTCCATTAATATCTTCTCCCTCTTCATTCAGTGGCTGACAAAGAGCTTTTACTGGGAGTGCAAAGGGTAGACTGGCCATTTTCTTGTTGATTACTTGTGCTCACCTATTAACATCCTGCAGTTTCCTTGCAGAAAACTTTAAAAATCACTTGTCAAAATTTGAGGATTCTGTGTGAATGAGATGAATAACATTAAACAAGGTGATCAGCAAGCCTGTTTCACTGGCACAGGACATGCGCTATTTTGAGATGTGGGAACGGAGTGGAAGAGCAAGGACACCCAGGATGACAGGAGTCCTGTTTGTCTTCTTCTTACTCTCAGGATGTTGTTCCCAGTGGCTATTTATGGCCGACGTCTCTTCTGATTGTTGCTAAATACTCAGGCTATCTTTTCTATCCTAGGATGTATACCCTGTATTTGAGAGACCCCTGTTCTTGACTGCCATTGACCTCATCATATGAAAAACAACTCACCAAGTCTCTGCTCCTCTCAGTTTCAGAGAAAGTGGTGTGACTGAGTATGTCAGTTTCTTAGCCTAGCAGGACCATGACCTAAGTTCCTCTGCATATTTATCAGAGATAAAGCAATTGTCCACAATTGGTTCCAATTTCGAACTTTGGTTAAGTGAGTTCGTTTTTCTGGTTTTAGAAGAGTCGGTTGCTATAAAAGCTTTGTTATTTCCATATTGGTTGGGCTTCAGCAAAACTTTGATATTAGTACGTCATCTGTTGTCCTTTTCTTGATATATTTGTGAAATTCTTTATCAAATCATGGATATAAAATAATCATTTTCAGATGCATTATTGTCTCGATGCTTTTGAATACTTTGGGGGCATTGTAATTGAGGTTTATGAAAGGCCTGTACTGATGAGGTTTATTTTTCCACTGTGAATGATGAGTTATTATATGTATTAAAATTAAATAGCTGGAATGTTGAATAGGTAGTATAAGAAATATTTCTCCATATTTTTCATGTGTATTTTAAAATTAGGTGCTTTTATTTTCAGCCTGATTTAATAATTTGTGAATCACCAGAAAGCTACTGATTATCAATGGAAAGTTCCTAAAGGATGAAATCTCCTAGAAATAGAAAATAAATGGATGAACTCACTGTATTTTTTTCAAGTAAGACCCAAGTGGAGAGTATTCTGTATTAGCTGTCGCTGTATTTGCAAATTACCTGCTCCTTGATTAATCTGAGTTTTTTGAAATTAGCATTTTGAAATGAGTAGAACTCAAGAAGTGAATTAGCATTATTTGTCTGTGTATTAAAAATGTTACCTTTGGTTGTCTTGTGGAACCACAGCTGTTTTAGAGAAATGGTCTAGCCTTAGTTGTATAATTGATAATGAACATATTATCATCCAGTTCTGTGGTTTCAGGATTTATTTGCCAAAAAATTGTAAATAAAATGTCAAGAACACAGCCATGGGAGAATATCTTCAAGAATTTCCACCGTGTCCTTGATGGTCATTGATGGTAATTAAAGCTGTCAGTTTGTCCCTGTGGAGAAGTGTAAAGATTATAAATGAAGGGCTGTATTTGGGCTGTGGAAACAGTGGGGCCTCTTTCGTGGGGAAGATGAATTGAAAGAGACCAACTATTTGCTCGGCCCCCGTGCAGCCATTCAGCCTGTCTTGTGAGCAGGGCCGTGTTTAGCTCTTCGGATACATCCTGTGCACACACGAGCTCTGCCACACGTGGCCTGTTCTCAAACGTGAAATTCAACGTGATAAAACCTGGAGGTTGAATTTTTACAGTTTTGCACGACTGCAATTTTTTTTTTTAACATTGCTATACTTAAGATGCTTGTGACCAATATTTACTTCCTTTATAAGATAGTGAATTGATAAGAAAAGTAAGACTCTTTCCCCGTCCTTTCTCTCTGTGTGAAGTCTCTGTCTGGGTCTCTTGTCTTTGGGGAATGGCAGGGATGTCACAGAGATCTGTGACCCCTTAATAGGGCCTTGGGAGGGTAAGGCAGGAATCAAGGTGCACTGTGCCTCAGGGCTTCGTTCCTTTAAACTTCAAGGAATTGGATGGAACTCTCCACTCCTCCTTTCTTTCAGCTTTACCTTCAGGGGAAAAGTCATCGATTAGAGGTGATTATTCCACAAACTCTGAACCCTTTCCCCCTCTTTGTTCCAACTGGAGCTCCTCGAAGTTTAAAAGGGATTGTGTCTCCAGGGTGAATTGTAGAATGAATTTAAGTAGATTATTGGGTAGAACTCTTTGAACACACATTAAAAGTGCTAAAACATATATTTGGAACAGAAGGAAATATATGGAGCAAAAGGATAAGGTAACATTTGTTTCAAAATAATTATAATGTAATTATATGGCTATTTTTGAGCAAATGATTACCTGTTAGGATGAAGAATCATAGTAGTGCCTCAAACCAAGAAAATAATAGAAATAAATAAATAATAGTTGTTGGACAACTGTCCAACAAATGGACAGTTGTGCAAAATCTGGATGGTAAGACCCTCAGAGGACCAAAGACAACCATAAGTGACTGGGTTTATATATGTCCTCCATTAAGCACAGCAAGCTTCTACTAACTGATGACTTTTAGTTTTTTTCTATTAACTAATAACTTCTAATAACTTCTTTTTTTAACAACAAAAAAATGATCTATGTCTAGTTTGCTTTTTTCATGTCTGATATATTTAACTTATCAGCACTGTGGACCTTATTTGAGTTATGTGTAATACCACATCAATTTAATTTTCCCCCCTTTAACACAGTCTAATTTCTAGACTCTTACCTACCCACAGAGCAGTATTAGCTCCCCCTGGTGACTAAATAAAAATGTAGACAAGGATGATTGCGGTGACGATCTTCATTAACCTTAAATTGCATAATTAGTATTAGGATGTATACAGTTGGCAAGTACACTGAACTATTTTCCAAAAAAAAAAAAAAAAATTCCAGTTGGTCTTGAGAAATGTCCATTTTCATGGAAGTTTATTTACATGATGAAGGCTGTTCTGTTTTATGAGGCTTTCTTGGAGTTCTGTCCATTTTAATGACACCACCACTCATGGCTTCTGGAGTGGGACATGTTAGAACACAGAGCAGATATTCAGATCTTCTGTAAACTGGGAACTGAATAGAGACACAAACAATGAAAGTAAGAGCAGCTACCAATTTGCCTATCTCTATCATTCTTACAAAACAACCTTTCTATAGAAAAGTTTATCATTGTTAAAATTATTTAAAAGTTATGTCCCTTGGATGGACCTAGAGACTGTCATATACAGTGAAGTAAGTCAGAAACAGAAAAACAACTATCGTATATTAACACACTTATGTGGAACCTAGAACTATGGCAGAGATGATCTCGTTTGCAAAGAAGCAGTAGAGACACAGATATGGAGAACAAATGTATGGAAACAGAGGAGGGATGGAGAGGGTGGGATGAATTGGGAGATTGGGATTGACCTGTACACACTACTAATACTATATATAAAATAGATAACTAATGAGAACCTACTATACAGCATAGGAAACTCTGCCCCGTGCTCTGTGGTGACTTAAATGGGAAGGAGATCCAAAAAAGAGGGAATATATGTATATGTATGGCTGATGCATTTTGTTATACAGCAGGAAGTAACACAACATTGTGAAGCAACTATTCTCCAATAAAAATTAATTTAAATTTTTTTTTAGAAAAAGAGTAAATTAAAGCTGTCTCTATTTAAAAAAAAAATTGTTTCCATATCTTGGCTATTGTGAATAACTCTATGATGAACATAGAAAGGCAGGTATTTCTGCAAGATCCCAATTTCAGATCCTTTAGTTGTAAACTCACGTATAAGCTGAGTAACTTCTGGGGTTCTAATGCACAGCATTGTAATTATAGATAATTATACTCTAATGTATACTTGACGGTTACTGATAGAGTAGATCTTAAGTGTTCTCATCACAACAAAGAAATGGTAATTATGCGAGGTGATAGAAGTGTTAACCAAACCTACCGTGGTAATCGTTTTGCAATATGTGAGTGTGTCAAGTCATCACAAACTTATACACTGTTGTATATCACTTCTATCTCAGTAAAGCTGGAAAAAATAAAATTTGGGGGGCAAAAAGCACTGTTACACATTCAAATACTAAGGGGTAATTTTTTGTTGCCAACTCAAAACATTTTTGCATTTAATTTATCAGTTATTTAAAGTGTGTATTTGTACTACTTGGATTGCTTTCCAACTCAATTCTGATAGTTTAATTTCTGAAAAATTACTCCTCATTATAATTACCAGTTTGACAGACTTTTGAGAATGCTTTTGTGATCTCTTTGAAAAGAAACTTGTCAAGTCTGTCATATGCTTACCACAGTCAACCTTCTGTGTCCTCAGGTTCTGAATCTTTAATTCAGCTACCGTCTTCAGATTCAACCAATCCATAGATTGAAAATATTCAGTAGAAAAAAATTCCAGAAAGTTATAAAAAGCAAAACTTGAATTTGCCTTGTACTCTGGCAACTATTTAAATGTAATTTAGATTATTTACATAGAGTTTACAAGGTATTACATATTATACATTATCTAGAGATGATTTAAAGTATTAACATGATAAGCTGAGGTTATATGCAGATATTAGGGACTCAAGCATACATGGATTTTGGTATCTCCTGGGGTGTTCTAGAACCAATCCCCCACGGATACCCAGGGATGATTGTATTTCTTACATGTAATTTTATTGTCTATGAAAAAGTTTTTGCTTTATACCAGTGTTTTATATTGATTTTCAGAAGCAGTGTCTGTGACTGTAAGTTCTGGTTTAATATTTTATGTTAAATCATTCAGAAAGGAAGACTTAAAATTTTCTCTGAGAGCTAATATTTGACTTATTCTCTCACTCCTCCTATTCTTCGTCTCCCTGTAATTTAGCACTTCCCCCTCCTCCATCATATTTTTTTTGTTTGTTCTTTTGGCTTTTTTCTTTTTCTTTTCTTCCTTTTCCAAGGCCTTATTTTTAGGGTAGGAGCCACATCTCTCTATTACTAGAAAGGGTATAATCTTCTAAACTCAATTACTTCTTAGTATCACCTTCTTCAGCATGTGGAAACCTAAGTGAAACTTCTTTTGGAGTTATTGATATCATTTTGTCATTTGGCCTGAAATGATGGTCTGGTTATCAAGTAGCACAGCTGAACACAGCCCCTCTCCCATACCTCAGTTTTTTTCTCCCTCCTTCCATTATTTCTGTTACTTCCTTCCTCAAGCAGATGGTTTGCCCTTTGCAGTTCATTTGTCACAGTGCCTTGCAAAAAAGCAAAGGACCATGCTTTGCCTAAACCTGTGCTGCTGGTCACTCAGAGGTGACCCCATGATGAAATAGTGATAACTTTCTTCTTATGAATATCAGCTTAAAACTGACATGTGTTTATTAATACAGATGTTATTACATTGATTAGATACTGCAATTTGGCTTAGTATAATGAAGAGTATATGTCTCCATTCCTTTTTACACTAAAAATACCATGCAGAGATAGTGATAGTGAAATGACTAGCACCTCACTATAGTTATTTTTCCCTACACACTCCTGAGCATTTGGGACTTGCCAGGTGGCATTAATGGTCAAGAACCCACCTGCCAGTGTAGGAGACATTAAGAGACATGGGTTTAATCCCTGAGTCCAAAAGATCACCTGGAGGAGGGCATGGCAACCCACTTCAGTATTCTTATCTGGAGAATTCCAAGAACAGAGGAGCCTGGCAAGCTAAAGTCCATAGCTGTTGCAAAGAGTTGTACACTGTTGAAGCAACTTAGCGTGCAACCTGCTATACATTTATAAGCAGTTCAATTCAATAAACATTTATCAAGTTTCTGCTGCTGCTGCTGCTGCTAAGTCACTTCACTTGTGTCCGGCTCTGTGCGACCCCATAGACGGCAGCCCACCAGGCTCCGCCGTCCCTAGGATTCTCCAGGCAAGAACACTGGAGTGGGTTGCCATTGCCTTCTCCAATGCGGAAAGTGAAAAGTGAAAGTGAAGTCGCTCAGTCGTGTCTGATTCTTTGCAGCCCCGTGGACTGCAGCCCACCAGGCTCCTCCGTCCACGGGATTTTCCAGGCAAGAGTACTGGAGTGGTATCAAGTTTCTACTCTTTGTCAAATAACTACTGGACATGGAAGGCCCAGAATATTCTGGGAGAAAAAAATGGTTGAGAGGGGGTCTCTGAGTGTAACCTGGACTCAGGTATGGCTTCCTGAAGTATGCGATGCCCTCAGTGGTGAGAGAGCTCTCTAGTGAAGACAGGCGGGGAGGGGCATTTCAGGCAGACAAAAGGGAAAGAAAAATAGGAAGGAGAGGCAAAACTGCGTAGTATCTGCTGGGACAATGTCAAGGTAGAGGAAAGTACAAGATTGGGAAGTAGTGAGAGAATATGAATGTATTTCACTTCTAGTTCCAACCACGTGGCTACTGACTAGAGACCTGGGCCTAGTCACCACACCATGGGCCTCTCAGTAGGGTTACTTCCTGCCTGCCAGCTAACTTACTCCAGAACAAGTTAAGTAAGAGGAAGAAGGAGAGGAAAGAGGTAAAGGTATGGAAAAGAGGAGGCGTGGGGACAGAAGCTGCAATCTCTTATGGCCTAATCTTGGAAGTGACATTTCTTCTGCTGTATTCTATTACTGGTCACACAGACCACCCCGGGTATGATATGAGAAGGAATTACACAGAAGCATAAATACCAGGAGGTGGGGTTCACTGGAGGCCATTCTGAAAGCTGGTTAGTGCAATGAATCAGAAAGGGAAGATGGGTCTGGCCATGGCGGGGCCACCCTAGGAAGTTAAATTTGATCCTTTGCCTTGTGCTTCTCCAAGTGCTCTGAGGAGCCTCACAGTTATATATCATCCGGGGAGGCATGGAGGTAAGGAGTAGTTATCAGGGCGCTTCCATTCCTTGAAACCAGAACAGCCCAGGCTGGAATTGTTTTATATAATGGAAGTTTTATATAATGGAGATTCAAGTAAGGTTTCGTTTTTGTATTGAGTTTAGAAGCTTAAGAATATTTGATAATTACTGTTTCAGGCAGTGAATGGCCATCGAAGGTTTTACGCAGTGTGGGGAGGGCAGGAAATACATGCCTAGATTGGACTGTGTGTGGGCCTATAGATTTAACAGGGAAAATATGGGGCAGGGCGAAGGATTCCAAAGAGGCAGCTCTTGCAATGACACTAGTCTAGTAAGAGTAGATGGGGCCAACACCAGTGCTGTGGTCATAGGAGGAGAGTGGAGGACCAAATTCATATGCCCTGTTTAGAGGGTAAAATCATTCAGATGTAGAGATTGATGCATTTTGCTGCATACGAGCAATGAAAAGATTAGAACAAGCCCCAGGTCTCTGGTGCATTGAGTGGTCATCACCTGAAACCAGGAATGAGGAGGAAGCAGGATTGGAAGTTAGGATAGTAAATTCACTTTTGCTCCTGTTAAATTTGAGATGCTTTCCTGGCTCAAATTGTTTGGAACAGCATTTTTTTTACATAGGCCAGAACCCAGAGGTAGACTTTAGGCCACTTATACTTTCTGTTTCCTTGAGTCCTGGTTTAGTTTTCCCTTTGTCAGTTTCCTAAGTTTATCCCCAAGCTTGCTCCCGTTCTTGAAACACTGTTTCTGATCTGGAATTTCCCCCTTGCTTCCAATAATGGATAACCCTCTTCCTCAGGTTGATTACTTCATACATACTGGCTCCGGAGTGTAAGACCCCTTGTAGTTGGGAGTGTTAGAGCAGGTGGAAATGACCCCTTGAGAAAACAAAGGTGCGTTCCTGGTGGCTCAGATGGTAAAGGATCTGCCTGCAGTGCAGGTTCAAACCCTGGGTTGGGACATCCCCTGGAGAAGGGAGTGGCTACCCACTCCAGTACTCTTGCCTGGGAAATCCCACGGACAGAGGAACCTGGTGGGCCAAACGTCTGAAAACTTGAAGGTTGACTAGTGTTCTTTTCTCTAAAGATGAGGAATTTTGACATCGGAGGTTTTGTGGAATCCAGCAAATGGGTGCTAAGAAGGATGCTCTGTTCTCACAGGATTAGTGATAGTTGCTTGGTCATGTCAAAGTCTTTGTGACCCCGTGGACTGTAGCCTATCAGGTGCCTCTGCGCATGGAATTCTCCAGGCAAGAATACTGAAGTGGGTAGCCATTCCCTTCTCCAGGGGATCTTCCTGACCCAGGAATTGAACCCACGTCTCCTGCATTGTAAGCGGATTCTTTACCGTCTGAGAGGCCATGGAAGCCCAGCATATATATACTAAGGTCCATCTCTATAGGAAATATTACTCCTTAGGAATTATTTGTTATGCCCACCAGCACCCACCTCATACCCCGCCTCCCAAAAGCAATTTCCAAATAGATTTAAGTTTACTCTTCTTTTTTTTTCTTGGAATTTGCGACCATCCTGTGAATCTTAACAGGTTGCTTTATGGCTGATTTTCAGAGTTATAGTTCCCATCATCTTTCTTAGTATTATTTTCATTGAAAATAATGAACTCCATTAACTTAAAAAAATCAATATAATCATTTGGTAGTAATTAATTCTTACCAAACTTTGAAAGGAAAAATGAATTAACAAAACTTCTGAAATCTTAAAATAGGTAAAAAGAGCTGTGTCAATATCAGCGTATAATGTACGGAGTCCTGGGCTCTAGTGGTTGGCTGCCCCACATGCCCTTCCCAGTTCTCCGCAAACTAGCTGTGTGGTCTTAGGTAGATGACTTAAATGTTTAATCTAAAATACCCTTATCTGTAAAGTAGGGGCAATCATAAAAAGGTAATAATATTGCCAGTCTTGTAGGATTGTGGTGACTAAATGAGATGACAGGTATGTCATTCTAGTAAGGTGCTTGGTACACAGTGGATGCTTAAAGGATTCCTTTAAAGATATGTCACATGATTCAGATTCCAGACTTGAATATCTTCCAAAAACCTGAGAGGTTTCAGAAGAGTTAGTGTGACTTAATACCTGATAATGTCTTAAATTCTACCCTTTTTAAAAATCAGAAGACACTCACGTATGATTGATGCTAGAGAGAATGAGGTGAGGGGTAAATACGGATTAGTTTAATTAAACATGCTCATTACCATTTTAGTAAGACCTTAATGTTCAGATTTGTATGGAAGAGAGATCATTCCCTATGGCTCAGCAGAAG